GCCTGCAGCTCCTTTTCCATTGCAGGTGCCACCATAATACACATGGGGAATTGATCAAAACTGGCAAACAATTGAAATTTTGTTGGTGCTGTCACCAAAATAACACTTAAATGAGGGCCTGTAGCTGGTATTTAATGTGTACTGGGTTTTCTGTATAGAAAGCATCATAACCAGCATGATAGTGCAGTGGAACACCCTAAAAACTAATGTTTAGAATTTTTGAAACTTACACAGGGCACAGCAAGTTCATTGTTGTCCACTGTTCTGGGGATTGTTGCTGCTCCCGATGATGTTTCAATTCTAAATGTCAAAAGATGATTATCCGTTTCCAAATTATCTTATTTTTCTTTGCAGAAAGTTGAAAAAGCTCCCAAAGGCAAGAAAGGAAAGGGAGATTCTGGAAAAGATGCCACCAATGCTGCAGAGAATGGAGACGCAAAGTCTGATCAGGTAAGTGTTCCTTAAATGTATTCTTTGTAAACGTTTGGAAGCATTGAAACTAATGATCATTTATTCTTTTCACAGGCACAGAAAGCAGAGGCGTCTGGTGATGCCAAGTGAACTCTGTGAATTTTGATAATTGTGTACTTCTGGTGACTGTACAGTTTGAAATACTATTTTTTATCAAGTTTTATAACAATGCAGAACTTTGTTTTACTTTTTATTTTAAGCTGTGTTTGGCAAATGCTTTGTGGGTTTTAATGGGCAGGGTGTGACGTGACAGTGCGATCTTCACTTATTTAACAGCTACATTGAGCCCCTGTGTTTTTACTCCCTCCACATGAAATTGGCATATTTAACGTTATGGTTTCCTCCATTTTGTGGGAAAATAGGCAGCTATTCAAGCCTTTACTGTGCCCCGGGTCCTTGGTTTGAAGAAGATGGTAAAGCCAAAGTACACAGGTGCCTGTCTGAGGCAATTTCCATTCTCAAAATGTGAAGCATCAATCCTGTTACTGATAAATGTTAATGGTTTTCATAGTGAAATGTATTCTCGGGGCTGGGAAGTGAAGTCTATCATTTAGTGTCCTGCCTTTGCAATGCCTAATTAAATTTTAAATAAATCTTGGACTTTGCTCAATCAGAATCTTGGTCTTCCATTAACAAATTAACCCCTTCATGACTGAGGCCCTTTTTTCATTTTTTGCACCCATGTTATATTCCACATTTTAGGCCTGAAAATGACAAATTTTTATATATATATATTTCTGAAGTAATTTATTTTACAGACGCTTTTATTTGGAGCTATGGTGGTGGAAAACATGTTAAAGCCTAACTCTGGGCAGAAGAAGGCCTTGCTGATCATGGCAACTTGCTGAACTCCAGTAAGATTATCGTGCTTGGAGTTGGGCTTTAAGTGCAGTTAAGATTAACTCAAGGTAGATCTAAAATACAAATGAAAGCAGCGTTGTAATTGACACGTTATTGTTTCTTTTGTTGTTTTTACTGCAAGTACATGCATTTGACTTGGTAGTGCAAGGAGCATGCATATAGGAGGAAAGAACAAAGATGAGCTCATCAGTGTGCTGCTTTTCCTTTACTATCTCAACGGGGGGGGGGAGGGTAACTTATAACGGCGCTCATTGTGTATATACTACTTGTTTATAT